AGCGAGATCCACAAACTTAAAGGGCCAGATAGTGAGTATTTTAGTCTTTATAGGTCAGATGGGGTTTCTGTCACATATGTGTTTACATCCTTGCTTTTTTTTGTGCATCCTTTTAAAAATGTAAAAACAGGGACGCCAGGAAGCTCACTCGGTTAAGGGTCTGCCTTCGGCTTAGGTCGTGACCCCAGAGCCCCCCATCAGGCCCCTTGCTCAGCAGGGAGCCTGCTTCTCCCGCTGCCTGCTGTTCTCCCTGTGTGTGCTCGCTCTCTCTGACAAGTAAATAAGATCTTTTAAATATAATAAATCTTTTAAAAAATGTAAAAACAATTTCTCACTTTTCCCTAGTGGTCTCTTAGGGGCTGGGGAAGCAGAAGTCAGTGTCAGGCCAGAATGCTCTTGTCTTGAAAGATGTGCAAGGCTGTGCCGTAGAGCTGGACATTTTAACCAAACCCTGCCAAGACATTTGGTGTTTGTGGTTTTTTCTGCCCAGTGTAAAGCCAGGCATGGAGCCCTGTCTACTTGCCTGTTTTTGCAGGTGCTTCTCTCCAGGTAGACACCAGACTGTCATTCTAGTGTCAGAATTCCATGTTCTTTTTCTGTTACGCCTCGTGTTTATAGAAATATGATGTGTGTGGGGCGCCTCATGTGTTAAGTGATAGAATGACGTTTGGGTGTATTTTACAGTGGAACAGTTGACAGTAGTTCTCTTCACATATGTGTAGTTCCTCTGATTTGAACGCCCCCTAACATTTTGGTGTTTTCTAGACATTTTCTTGGGAAATGATGTATGTATATATAGGAAGGATTGTTGGATAATTCTACTAAAGCAGTGGTTCTCTGGAGTGATTTTTCCCCCACCCCTTTTAGGTGACACTTGGCAATGTTTGGATACGTTTTTAGTTGCTAAAATTGAGAGGGGTGCTACTAGCGTACTGGATGCTGCTAAACATTCTGCAGTGCACAGGACAGCCCCCACAACAAGAGTTAATTGATTTAAAATGTCCATAGTACAGAGTTTGAGGAACACTTAAAACTGAGATCATGGGGTGGCGCCTGGGTGGCTCAGTTGTTGAGCGTCTGCCTTCAGCTCAGGTCATGATCCCAGGGTGCTGGGATCGAGCCCCGCATGGGGCTCCCTGCTCCGCGGGAAGCCTGCTTCTCCCTCTCCTCCTCCCCCTGCTTGTGTTCCCTCTCTCGCTGTGTCTCTCTCTGTCAAATAAATAAATCCTAAAGAAAAACAGATCATGGGGCGCCTGGGTGGCTTAGTAGGTTAAATGTCTGCCTTCGGCTCAGGTCATGATCCCAGGGTCCTGGGATGGAGTCCCATGTCAGGATCCCTGCTCTGCAGCGGAGTGTCTGCTGCTCCCTCTGTGCCTCTCCCCTGTTCATGCTCTCTCTCAAATAAATAAAATCTTAAAAAACAAAACGAAAAGATCGGAAGTTGTGATCTTCTTGGTTCTCCATCCCCCTCCCTCCGATTATAACAGAAGTGTTCTTTTTTTTTTTCTTTTCAGATTTTATTTAGTTATGTGAGAGAGGGAGCACAGGCAGAGGGAGAAGCAGACTCCCCACTGGCCAGGGAAACCAATGCGGGGCTCCATCCCAGGACCTGGGATCATGGCCTGAGCCGAAGGCAGATGCTTAACTGACTGAGCCACCCAGGCGCCCCAAGGAATTGCTCTTTTTAGTGACTTGATACAGTCACTTGTTAGGGTTTTACTCTTTTGTGGCAGGCAGGGCCCTCACAGTCAGCCACCACAGGTGGGTGAGGCTGCCCCGAGTGGATGCTCAGGCCCTCTGGTCCCTGACCACTCGACTCCTGATCATGGTCCTCCCGTCCCCTCTCCCTGCTGCCCCAGGACTACATCGCAGTGAAGGAGAAGTATGCCAAGTACCTGCCCCACAGTGCAGGGCGATACGCGGCCAAGCGCTTCCGTAAGGCACAGTGCCCCATTGTCGAGCGTCTCACCAACTCGATGATGATGCATGGCCGTAACAATGGCAAGAAACTCATGACCGTGCGCATTGTCAAGCATGCCTTCGAGATCATCCATCTGCTCACTGGTGAGGTAGGACTGTGAGACCTGAGGAGGCTGAATGCCCTTAGTACACCCTAAAGCCAACAGCTGCCCCATGGCGTGCATGCCAGGGTCCACCAGGTCTTGGGGGTGAGGAGATGGGGGAGGGATGTGGACTGGATATCAGGTTCATGGCTGCCTTCTCCTAGAACCCCCTGCAGGTCCTGGTGAATGCAATTATTAACAGCGGTCCCCGGGAGGACTCAACCCGCATTGGGCGAGCCGGAACAGTGAGGCGTCAGGCTGTCGACGTGTCCCCCCTGCGCCGTGTGAATCAGGTGGGCTTGGGGCAGAAATTGGCAGTGGGAAGGTTTGAGTCCTGCCTGTGTGTTTTATCTGGAGTGTCCTTTCCTCCAGGAAGCCTTCCTGCATTTCCTTCACATTCAGGGCGGATACTAGTTCTGGCCCCCCTCTTGAGCAACATTTGCCTGAGGCACAGTTTCATTTGAGTGTATATTTTTACATACTGTGTGTGGGTGTGTATTTTTTTTTCCATAGACCATTTGAAAATCAGTTGCAGGCTTTCTAATCATTTCCCCCTTAACATTTTAGTGGGTGTCTCCTAAGAACAAGGATACTCTGTCCCCACCATCACTCTCAAGGAATTTAACAGAGATAGAATTGTTTCATGTTCCGTCACTGCGGCTGTCCGTTTTCAATCAAGGGTCCCGGTTGGGAGCACACACGGCATTGCATTTCACCTGGTGCTGCCTGTGGGCTCCTCCTGTGTCTTGTCTCAGTCTCACTGGGCCAGTGGATGGCAGTATGGTAGCCAGCATTTGTTGGTGGGCCTAGGGTACTGGAGGACGGTGGCCTCTCTGGTTTGGGGGCATCCCCTGCCCCCAGGCTTAGCTGACCCCTGTGCTCCCTAGGCCATCTGGTTGCTGTGCACAGGTGCCCGTGAGGCCGCCTTCCGGAACATCAAGACCATTGCTGAGTGCCTAGCAGATGAGCTCATCAATGCAGCCAAGGTGAGTGAGGACATGGGGGTGGCGGCCAATTCAAGGGGAAGCTGCTCCAATATTCAGAACTAACCATCTATCTCCTTGCAGGGCTCTTCCAATTCCTATGCTATCAAGAAGAAGGACGAGCTGGAACGTGTGGCCAAGTCCAACCGTTGATCACCTGGCTGTGGCTTCAATAAACCTGTCTGCCTTCCGGGCAGCCTCACCCACCTGTGCCGGTGTCAGTCCTGGGGGGGGCGCTGGGCGCTGGAGTGGGGATGGCCCCAGTGTCCTGAGGAGCTGCGCACATTCATGACCTGTCTTTTGGTGTGTGGGGACCCACGTTCACCAGGGAAATAACTCTGCTCCGGAAGCACCACTGACTCAGAACCATGGCACCCCGGGGTGCAGGCCTGGCCACCTGGAGTGTTCCAGCGTGTTGGAAATGAGAGGGGTGGGGTTGTCCTGGCATAGATGTCACTCTGGTCTGGGGAAGGACTTGGTGTTTATCCATGAGATCTGGGTGGCATCCCTCCATCCTGAGAGGCATGTTAGCATGTTACCTGCAAGCAGCCCCAGGAAGAGGTATCCAAGGCTAGTGGTCTGGGCCACCATTTCCAGCCCCCTGTCTGCTGGTTTGGCAGGGGCCAGCCCTGTCCAGTGCTCTGTGGGGTCTGCCCACCTTCCACTCGAGGACACCAGAGGCTCCTCTTTGTTCTGGCCAGGTTCCCCCAGGGGCTCCCCAGGCTGCCTCTGTACTTTTTTTTTTTTTTTTTTTAAGATTTTTTATTTATTTGACAGCAAGAGAGGGAACACAAGCAGGGGGAGTGGGAGAGGGAGAAGCTGGCTTCCCGCGGAGCAGGGAGCCTGATGCGGGGCTCAATCCCAGGACCCTGGGATCATGACCTGAGCCAAAGGCAGACACTTAACGACTGAGCTGCGTAGGCGCCCCTTCCTCTATATTTTGTGTAGTCATGACTGCAGCCTAACCCTGGGTCCCCACAGAGCCACTGCCACACCAGGTTCTTGAAAGTGGATTCATGAGGTGATGAAAGACTTGGGTGGGGGGTTATTGCCCACCCACTGGTCCAGACTGTCAATGGCCTGTCCACCTGTGCCATCCATTCCTGCCGCCCCCAACATCCGGCCAAGGTCAGGCTTGGTGTTCATCCCGGAGGGACCTGTCTTGGGGGCGGGCCAGGCAGTCAGACAAGTCTGACAGGTACCTTGGGAACCTGCGATCTGAGGGAGTGGTACCAAGACAGCACCCTCCTGCAGGGAGGGGCACCTAGAAGGCGGCTGGTGGTAGGCAGAGGACTGGGGTCAGAACTGGCAGGGACGTGCCAGCCAGAGGGAGGAGGCACCAACAGGTAGGAAGAGCCCAAAGGCCCGCTGGGGTCTGTCATGGTGGGGAACCTCTGGCACTTGTTCTGGCCTTCCATCACTGCTCTGCTGCTGGGCTCCAGTCCTGAGGCTTGGGTGCCCGCTACCTCAGCTGACCCTCCTGGAGTCTTGAATGGACCCCCTAGGGTCGAACTAGTTCTCTTAGAGGGAGGCCCCTATCTCTTGCTCCTCTCCAGGTTGGATCCTCCCCATTGCTTGTCTGGGCTCCTTCCTGGTGCCGGGGCCTCAGCTCTCCTCTCTGCCCCTTCCCTGCCCGTCTAGCTTAGGCCCTATTGTGCCCCCTGGGTCTGTCCCTGGCCGCAGTCTGCGCTCCCATCTATTCCCCGCCCCCTCCTCGAGTCCTGATGCTTCCTCGACTTCCTACCTGGACATCCCTTTTTCTCTGCTTCTACCCCGCGAGTCGCTTACTGTTCTGTCCTCCCTGCTCCTTGGCCCGACACCGCCTTTTTTGGATGCCGCTGCTCTGGTGGGCCATCCCCTCCAGAGTCCAGTCCCTGGCCCTCCGCAGACCTCCCTTCTTCCACCGCCTGCTTCCCTGGCTGACGGCCCGCCTCTCCCCTCAGGTCCGGTCCGGATGCCCTGCCCTCGGCCTCCCTGGCTTCGCCGCCTCCGGGCCCCTCAGGGCTCAGGTCCCAGCTCCCCGGGCTCGCTCTCCGCGCTCCGCTCCCCCGGCAGGGAGGAGGGCGAAGTCGACGGCGGCGAGGAGGAAGAGGAAGGGGACGGCAGCCCGGGCTCCGGCCCCATCCTGACCCCCGCGTCCCCCGGGGACTGTCTCATCTGTGTGTCACCCTTCGACGGCGTTTTCAAGCTGCCCAAGCGCCTGGACTGCGGCCACGTCTTCTGCCTCGAGTGCCTGGCTCGCCTGTCCCTGGCCACGGCGGGTGGCGGCGACGCGGTGGCCTGCCCCGTGTGCCGCGCGCCCACGCGCCTGGCCCCGCGCGGAGGGCTGCCCGCGCTGCCCACGCAGCCCGGCCTGCTGCCCCGCGACGCGCGCCCGCCGCTGCGGCGCCAGGGCTCGGTGCGCTTCGACCGCCGCCGCGGCCTGCTCTACCTGCGGCCGCCGCCGCCCCCGCCCGGACCGCGCAAGTGCCGCGCCGCGCGCCCGCCGCCGCCCCCGCCGCCGCTGCGCCTCGGCCGCCCGCTGTCTCGCCGCCTTTCCTTCTCCAGCCCGGCCTGGGCCTTCAACGCCGCAGTGGCGCTGGCGGTGCTGGTGGCCGCGGGCCTCGTCGTCTCGGGTGTCTACATCTTCTTCCTCATCCCCCACGCCGCCTCCTCCGGCCCCGTGCGGCCCCAGCTCGTGGCGCTCGCCCCGGCGCCCGGGTTCTCCTGGTTCCCGCCACGGCCCACACCGGGGACACCCTGGACGCCGCGCCCCATGGGCCCTGACCCGGACAGCGCCCTGCCAGGGGCTGCGGAGGCCGTGCTGGAGCCCGAGGAGGGCTCCGAGGACGCAGCGGAGGCTGAGGGGATGCTGGACAGGGCCCCGCAGGGCATGTGGGGGCCAGAGGCTGGCCGGGGCCGAGCTCCGCGGGAACCGGGTGGGAGGAGGGTGTGGGGGCCACGGTAAATGCATCTGTGCTGCAGGTCCTCTCTCCAGGCCTGGGGACCTCCGTGTCCTCCTGGTGGGGGACCTGCCAGGATCACTTGCCTTGATCCTAGGGGAGGCCTTAGCAAGGTGCATGGAAAGCACCCATTTCTCTGAGGGGAGGCCTAGTGGGATCATTCCAGGCATCATCACCACGGAGCAGGGACCCTCTCAAGGAGCAACCCCTGCCTTCATTCCCACAAGGGCCCTCTGGGAGCACCCATGATCCCAGTCACTGTGGGCATCCAGCTCAGGCTGCCCTGACCCCCATCTTTGAAAAGGTCCTTCTGGGAGGCACTCCTAAACCTCGTCTCCATGGGAATCCAGCTAGGGAGCCCTTCTGACCAACATCGTGCAGGTACCCTGCTAGGGGCACCATCAGCCCCCACGGAGGGTCCTGCTGAGTGCACCCCTGGTCATCATCAGACCCCTGGGGGAGCATCCTCAGCTAGCAGCTAGGGCTGAAGGCTCTGATTTACTCACCCTGCGGGCTCACTGCAGGTGGCTGGAGGCCCCTGTGTTTGGTGGCAAAGCTGCTGCTGCTGTTAGTCTCTGGTCATAGACCCCTGCCTGGCCCATTGCAGTCCTCCCCACCCCCACCAAGGCTGTGGAGTTTATTTTTCACTCTGCTGCATGCACGTTGGGTCTGGGTGGGATCCAGCTGTTTCCATGCTGGTCCTGGGTTGTCTTTCTGCACACATGGCTGGGGCTTGGGCTTGAAGGGGCAGGGGTGCCTTGGCCAGGGCTGAGGAGGGACACATAGGGCCTGAGCCTCTAAGATTAGCTCCCACTTGGTCCTGAGCACCAATTTGCAAATGGGAGCCTCAACTACTGCTGTGGGTCATGGCTTCTGGGATCCTCCTGACACGCTGTGGGGCAGCTGTGGTCACCAAGGCTCAAAGACAAGGTTGTCCTCTGGGTCAGCGCCGCATGATTTTGGGGGTGGGTGCTCCTGCATCTCCCTGGCCTGCTAGGAGACATCCTGGCCTCTCTCCCTAGGTGCTAGAACCCCCATCACCCCCATTTCCACTCATCAATTTCTCGGGGCCAGTTATGACACCTCCTCCTCCAGAGAGGTCCATCACCCTTTTTTTGGCATCGCTGTTATTCCCCTAGGTGAAGCCTCAGCCCTGGACAGGAGCCTACAGGGAGGGCGGCTCTCGGGTTCCTGTCCTCCTCTCAGAAGCCTTCCTGGGTTAGTCATCACAGGGTAGACGGCTGCCACCCTCTACACAAACTGAATACAGGCCTTCTGTTTCCCCCCCAGGCTCTGGAGCCCCATCCTGTCTCCCTTCACCCAGGGTCAGGGTTCTGTTTTGTGGGTGGGAATGGGGCTGGAGGGTTTAATTTGTTTATATGTGTGTCCTCAGTGCCTGGCACACAGGGGGTGCCAGATAGTTTTCTGGGGAGTGACAGCCTTGCAGGTGACCAAGAGGCAGCCTGGGAATGCCTGTGGGCACTCCAGGCTCAACTAGCTCATAGCCACCCTGATCTAAGCATGTCAGCGGAGCTCCTTTTGATGGGAGGCGCTGCTTCCGATTGGGAAGCCAGAGGGGGCCCATCAGGACATCAAAGGGGGGACGACTTGGTCATGCTGGAGCAGGGTTGGTGGTCTAGATTAGTTTTTGCTGACTGCTGCAACAAATCACTGAGTTCCTTAGAAAAACACACATTAATTATCTTATAGTTCTGCAGGCCAGGAGTCTTGAAATCATTTTTACTGCTAAAGTCAAGTGTCCTCAGGGCTAACTCCTCTGGAGAGTCCAGGAGAGAATTTCCTTAGCTTTTCATCTTCTAGAGCTATATATTCCTTGGCTTCTTTCTCTTCCTTCATATTTTGTTTTTATTTTTTAAAGTAATCTCTACGTGCCATATGGGGCTCAAACTCACAATCCCAAGATCGGGAGTCCCATGGTCTACTGACTGAGCCGACCAGGCACCTGTCTTCCTCTGTCTTCAAAGGCAGCAGCATCGCATCTTCAAAGCTCTGACTGTCCTGTCTCCTGCTTTCACTTATGAGGATACTGTGACAACATTGAGCCCGCCCCGATAATCCAGGATAATTTCCCCAGATCGACAGCTTAATTTAATCACATCTGCAAAGTCCATTCTGCCATTTAGGTAGCAGATTCACAGATTCTGGGGATTAGGATCTGGCGATCTTTGGGGGCCATGGTAAGCTTACCATGGGGTCTCCGATATTCCTCTTCTCACCCCTTCCCTCCTCCACCCCAGGCTGGGAGAGCGGGGAGGGGCAGAAGTTGGGCCCAGCCAGGGGAGTCAGAAAGGGGCCCTTAGCTGGTGGTGCACAGAGCAGGGAAAGAAAATGCTCCCTGCCTGAGGGTGTTCAACAAAGGCTTCCTGGAAGGAGACTATCTTCAAAATAGCTGGCATCAAGGAGAGGGACCTGGGGCAGTAAGGGGGTGGCTGAGGGCAGTGGGCAGGGCTGACCCCTCCCCTCATCCTAATTAGCTTCCTCCTGGGGGTAAGGAAAGTATGGCTTCTCCATTCTCCCAACTGGGAGACAGAGGCCCCAGTCTCTCCTCCCTTAAAATGCTGATGGTAGATCCCAGGGGTCCTGAACATTCCCGTCTGCTAATTACTACCTCGATGCCTGCCCACCCACTGCCCACGAACAAAGGGGTTGCCAAAAACCACCCTGGGGCCAGGGTGATGGGGGCCTCCTCCCCACCCTTGCCTCCAGCCTCTGGGGCCACCCTCCCCGCCCTCCCTTTGCCTACTTCAGCCCTGCTGCATAACCACCTGCTGCGGGCTCGCTCCTCCTCCTATAGGTCCTGGTGCCTGTGAATACCCAGAGAGGGGGAGCCAACCTCAGTGCCTGCCATGGTGCCAGAGATGCCAGACTTTGGTTCTCTCTTCTGTAAAATGGGCGACAATAAACACTTTACTTGCAGGGAAAATGAGTTAATCTACAAGTATTTATTTATTTTTTTTTTAAGATTTTATTTATTTATTTGACAGAGAGAGACACAGCGAGAGAGGGAACACAAGCAGGGGGAGCAGCAGAGGGAGAAGCAGGCTCCCCGCGGAGCAGGGAGCCCGATGCGGGGCTGGATCCCAGGACCCCGGGATCATGACCTGAGCCGAAGGCAGACGCTTAACGACTGAGCCACCCAGGTGCCCCTACAAGTATTTATCGAGCACCTGCTGTATACCAAGGGTGCCCTGGGGACACCTCAGGAACAAGGAGGGCCCTCACATGGCAGATGACGTCCCGAAAGCTGAGCAGAGGAGCCATCAACTTGGACACACTGCCTTCACTGTCAAGCTCGTGGGGTCCCCAGTCCCCCAAACCTTTCCCAGGTTCTCCCCCAGCTCTGCTCCCTTTGCCCCCAGAGGGACACCAGGTGCTCCATTCTGCAGGGATCTGGCCAGTCTCTCCTCATGAGAGTCAAAGAGGCCCCTGCCCACTCCTCACCCGTCCCCAGCCATCGGGTCATCTTCTTGTGTTGAGGCCAAGAACACAAGGGCCACGGGGGGCCCCCAGTGGACCCTGAGAGGGGCAGTGTCCAGACTGACATATGGGGAAACTGAGGCTGTAGGGCTGGGCAGGGTGTGGATTCAGACTGGGACCAGAGAGCTTTCTGCAAAACACCTTCTCTCCTCAATTCCACATCCTGGTAGGGTAGCTTTGGTTTTTTCCCCCCACTTTCCCCCCATCCTGCAATCAAAGTTCTCTCTCCATACTTGGAGGCTTCCCTCCTCAGCAACACCTGCACACAAACCAGGGGGGCTTGGGGGAATTTCTAGCAATCCTGGCTGGGGGCTACTTGAGTGTCCTCACAACATGGCAATTGGCTTCCCTCAGAGCAAGTGAGCCAAGAGAGAACAAAGCCGAAGAAGCCCCAGTGCCTTTTATGACCTAGCCTCAGAAGTCACATTCTGTCATCTCCCCCATATGCTATTGGGTACCCTATTCACTATGGAAGGGAACTAAGTGAGCGTGTGAATACAAAACAATGAGACTCATGGTGGTCATTTTGGAGGCCAGCCCTCTACCTAAAGTGGAGTCACCAGCACGGTCCTCCGTCTTCTTTAGCCAAGCAGGCCTGTGCCACTCCCTTGGACCTGCTCTCCCGTGAGAGAGTCCCAGGTGTTTGGTTCAGGTTGAATCCTCAGGGTAATGACGCTGTTACCCTTTTTGTGAGTGTGGGTGAGGGAAGGGAGAAGCCAGTGCCAGCCACAGTAGCACCAAGTAGGGAGTGTGGCAGAACCAAGGAGAGAAGGGGAAGAGTGTCTGGCTTCGTTCTTACCTGTCTCCAGGCTCCCATATCTTAAGGGAGGGAGGAAACATGGAACTGTGGGTGTTGGCGGGGTGGGGGGGGTCGAGGGTGGTGGCATTAGAACAGCTGACTCTTTTCCAGGCCCCTTGCCCTCCGATTTTGGAGGAGTGGAGTGAAGCATTGTAGTGGTTCAGACCTGGACTAAGTAAGCACCTTCCGGCTGCCATCTGTAGTGTTTCCACATCACCGTTGGGGGAGGGCACGCAGGGGGGCAGCAGGTGGCGAGGGTGCTAGGGACCAGTGGCCTGTTGAGGAATGTGTCTGAGATCAGAGATCTGTGCAGGAGCTGGATATGCTGCCCTCACTCTGTGCTGTCCGGAGCCGGGGGGCACGGATTCAGGGGCCTAGTGAGGCGCCGAGGCAGCTTAATCATTTCGTAGCGGAAGCATGATTCATCCCAGGATCTACCCTGTCCTAAAGCCTCGGTGAGCCACTGCAGTCAGCCCTGCCCACTGCACCACCAAATAAGTGTCTGTGTGCCTGGAGCCTCGATCCACACCAGGTCATCTATGCCAACAGTGTGATTTATGGTGGGGCCTTTAGGCCATGCTGCATCAGTTTGCTCCATAAGCCAGAGACTGAGGAATAAGGTCAGTTACACGGGTGCTGCACGACTTCGTTACTATTTCCCAGTGAAGACCCTGGGCACCAAGGGTTAGGTGAGTGCACCTGGTGGCAACATTCCATATGTGTTGTCATATATATTGTTTCTGGGAGAAGTGAGTGCTGCATGTGACTCCCCTGGGAGAGGACACCCGAAAGCTTGTGCCCGATCTACCCTAGTAGTCCCTGTTCTATATGCCTCTTTCCTTTGCCGGATGTTGAATTATATCTTTTCACTACAATCAACTGTAAATAAGGGGCGCCTGGGTGGCTCAGCGGTTAAGCGGCTGCCTTCAGCTCGGGTCCTGATCCTGGGGGCCTAGGATCGAGTCCTGAGCCGGACTCCTGCTCTCCTGCTCAGCAGGGTGTCTGCTTCTCCCTCTGCCCCGCCCCCACTCATGCGCACCCACGCGCACGCACTCTCTCTCAAATAAAATCTTAAAAAAAATAGACTGTAACTAAGAATATAACAGATTTTCTGCGTCTGTGAATCCTCCTAGTCAATCTTCAAAACGGAAGGCTCTGAGACAACCTCTGGCTATCCTGCAGGGTTTGGCAAGGCCGCCTCCTACCAGCTGCTGACCTGTGACTGGAAGGGCACCCCGGCCATCTTCACTCGCAGGCAGTGCTGGGCCGGTCACACCGTAGCTGTTAGGTATGGCCACCTCTACCATTCCCCTCTCTAGCAAAATCCTTCCATCCACTTTTGTTTTACATACAGCTTTCGCCAAGCTCTGGTTAAATTCTTCAGCCCTGTAACTTAAAAAAAAAAAAAAAAAGTTTTAAGTTTTAAGTAATCTCTGTGCCCAATGTGGGGCTCAAACTGATGGCCCCCAGATGAACAGTCATGAGCTTTACTGACTGAGCCAGCCAGGCACCCCACCTCTGTAACTTCTTCTTTTTTTTTTTTTTTAAAGATTTTATTTATTTATTTGAGAGAGAGAGAGAATGAGAGAAAGCACGAGAGGGAAGAGGGTCAGAGGGAGAAGCGGACTCCCCGCTGAGCAGGGAGCCCGATGCGGGACTCGATCCCGGGGCCCCAGGATCATGACCTGAGCCGAAGGCAGTCGCTTAACCAACTGAGCCACCCAGGCGCCCCCCACCTCTGTAACTTCTTAATCAGGAGCTGGAAAACTTTTTGTGTAAAGGGTCAGACCATAAATATTTTCACCTTTGTGGGCTGTGCAGTTTCTAGTCACTATTCAACTGTCAGTGTAGTGGCTAGTATCTAATTACAAAAAACAGCTAGTATTGGCAAGGATGTGGAGAAAAAGGAACACTTGTGCACTGCTGGTAGGAATGTAAACTGGTACAACTGCTGTGGAAAACAGTATGGAGGTTCCTCAAAAACTTAAAAAATAGAAATACCACACAGTCCAGTAATTTACTGAGGAAAACGAAAACAATTTGAAAATATATATGCACCCTTATGTTTATTGCGGCATTATTTCCAGTAGCCAAGACATGGAAGCAACCCAAGTGTCCATCAATAGATTCATAGATACAAAAGATGTGGTGTATATATGCTGGACTATTCCCCAGCCTTAAAAAAGAATGGGATCTTGCCATTTGCAACAACATGGATGGCTCTAGAGGGTCTTTGGCGTCCACTCTCAGGATGTTCTGCAAAAGGGACTGGCTAGGTCTCAGCTGCCAGAGACAGCACGTACCCGCAGTGGGAAGGGCCCGGGCCCATCCACACCTCTGCCCACATCCAGCTGCCGATGCTCCTCCCCACACCTCCTTTTCCTCCAGCCGAGGTCTCAAGGCCGTTAGTCCAGGACGACTCGGGGGCGCCCCGGGCACGTGCCGGCTTCGGCGGAGGCCACGGAGCACACCCCCGCGCGACTGGGCTGCACAGCCCCGGGGCCGTCCCACTACGGTGGGGGACGCAGGGAGTCCACGAGGAGGGACATTCCCCGCGGTAAGAGCGCATTCATGGCGTGGCCGGACCCTCCCCCCTCCTCGACTCTCGTGCCGTCCCCGGTCCCGCTTCCGCCGCTTCGGGAAGCCCAACGGACGCCCTCCCGGGCCGCTTCGCTACCGAAGCGAAGGGCTGTCAGAACTGGAGCGAGACAACCTTCCGAGGCGGACGGCGGAAGTCCCGCCCCAGCAGCCCTCCCGGAAACGCCCTGTCCTGGGCCCTCATTGGTCAGCCCCGAGACGTCGTCACAGTGTCTTCTGGGTAGCGTAGTTCCCGCCGCGAGGCCCCGCTCGCTAGCAGGGCTGAGTCCCCTGGGTGCTACTACACAAGGTACAGGAGGGCAGGGTCCGTCGTCGTATCTTCGCCGAGCCGTGAGCTCCCAGTACTGGCTCCGTCTCTCTGAGAGAGACGGATACCTCTCACGGAGGTATCTCCCGAGCCTCTTGAGAACAGAGAGCAGGGGCAGGAGTCGGGCCTGGAATGGATCTAGACCTCTGTTCTGAGGGTGCTGGGAGCCATAGGCGATCTAGGGCAGGGGAGGGAGGTGATCTGGCTCAGGCGTTGGGAGAGTCCCTCTGCCTACGGACTGTGCTGGAAGAAGGCACACGAGAGGCTCCTGGTGATGGGTGGCTGCACCAGGGTGGTGGCAATGGAGAGGTGCTGGTACTCTGTATCTGTTATTTCAGTAGGACCAGCCCAATTGCTGGACGCGAGGCAGTGAGAGACACCCACCTATCAAGGAGTAGCCTAGGTGTTTGGACTCAGTGGTTTGATGGACGGAACATCCACCAACAGATGTGGAAGTTGGTGGCTAGAGCAGGCTCCAGGGACAAGATCTGGAGTGTGGTTTTGGAGATTTTAAGTGTGATATATCCAGGAACGTAGGCACCTGAATGTGCAGCTCTGGAATTCTGCAGGGTCAGGGCTGGAAAGATCCAAAGGGTGGGGCTAGAGAGTGGGACTAAGAACAATGTGGGATGAAGGACGGTGATGAATGCCCGGACAAGTTGTGGGAAGGGAGGCTGGGGACCAAGGAGGACCGGATGTTCTGACTGTGCAGTTGGAAGGTGGTGGTAGGTGTCACTAAGGCACTGTGAAGTTTGGGCCCATGTTAGCAGGGAATGAAGAGGGGCAGTGTCAGGGAGCCACGGCTCCTGATCGGCAGGTGGACCTGGGGTGCAGCCTGTGGCATGGCCGTGATGGATGTAGGGGGTAAATGGGCTCGGGGTTGGGCTGATTCACCTGTCTGCAGGCTGACCAGGCTTTTATATCTGCCCTCTTTGGGGCCTGAGGGTTTTCATTCAGGGTTGCAGAGGCCTTCAGTGGTAGATGGAGGTCACCTGGGAGACAGGCAGTGTCCCAGGCCCAGTGGGCTGGACTCTGAGTATGCCTCAGAATGGGAGAGGAGGGTCGCGGCAAGTGAGAGCACAGCCCGTGCAAAGGCAGAGTTGAAGGAAGTCCAGCATCTCAGAGATCCGATTGTAGTTCTGAGTGGCTGAATGTTGAAGCTAGCAACAGGGCCAGGTTGCCTCCAAAATCCAAAAAGTCCTGCCAAATGTTTTTTGGTGGTTGATGGTGTGCGGTGCAACGGCAGTGGGCCATTGGAAGTGCAGGCAGGCTGGAGCAGGATAGGGTTGCGGTTGCTATGCCATGCACTCTCAGGGCACCACACGGGGAGTGGCATGTGGGGAAGCCAGGGAGTTGTCAGTGGAGTGAACTGGTGAGCTTGTGCTGGAATGGTGTGGGTGCAGAATTATGAGGCTGCTGAGTATGTTATGTGCCTGAGAGGTGGGAGGGCCAACTGAAGGGCCTTGGGAGCAGACATCTGGCCCTAAGGAAGAGTGGTGAGTGAGGGTTTAGTTGCGTCTGAGAGGTGTGATGTGAGGGACACAGAGAGAATGGGCTGGGAGGAGAAAGGTTGAGGCCTGGTGCCTGGACCAGAACACAGATGGCATCCATCCTGCTGTTGCTGTGGGATGGATACAGACTCTAATAGTAACATGAGGAGAAAGGCATCAATGGCACTGTGACCTTGGTATTCTCTCTGAGGTAGAGTTCCGGAGGGAAAAGCAAGCATCAGGATGTGGTGGTGGTGGTGGTGGGGTGTTGAGCCTGTCAGTGAGAGATAGGATAGTACCCTTCCATGTCAAAGGCTTGGATGTGTCCCTTTGGTTGGTTTTTCGGCCCAGTCATCAACCCCTAGGATCAGCTGAACCCATCATTGCAGGGTCAGGTGACTTTTGAGGATGTGGCCGTGTATTTCTCCCAGGAGGAGCGGAGGCTCCTTAACGTAATGGAGAGGCACCTATACCCTGATGTGATATTGGAGAACTTTGAGCTCATCGGCTCTCTGGGTAAGTCCCTACACCCTCTCAGTGTACTGACTACCCTCTGCCTTTTCCCATGGGAAGTTCTATCCCAAAGCTGGACCACAGGGGCTGCTTCCTTCCCGGGTTCCCTATGGTGGGTGCTGTGGGTGCTGTGACTGGGGTGGGCGTACTCTCCCTCCGCTCTTTGAGCAGCCCTGTGAGTAGCCCCCGGTAGGTACTACCTCAGGACTTCATAGGGTGGAGTTTGGGGTCCAGGTCTTTCACAGGTATCCAACTGATCCCACCCATCTCAGCCTGTCTCCAGCTTGGTGACCCTGCTGGAGTCATGGCCCCTTTGTGCTACACATGTGCCCTCTTCCTCTGCGAGTCTTTGTGCAGGACCACCCAAGTCTCGGGCCAAGCTTGACCGTATATACTATTTCCAGTTAATGTTAGATTTCTGGCTATGTGGGTCAGACAATACCAGTTCATGATGGGAGGCTCAGGTCACATGGTGACCTGGCATCCCCTGGTTAGGCATTCAGTCTTTGCCGAAGGCCCATTAGCAAACTAGAAGCTGTTTCTCTAAAGTAGAGTAGTGGGGCGCCTGGGTGGCTCAGTCGGTTAAGCATCTGCCTTCGGCTCAGGTCATGATCCCGGGGTCCTGGGATTGAGCCCCACATCGGGCTCCCTGCTCGGCAGGAAGTCTGCTTCTCCTCCCACTCCCCCTGCTTGTGTTCCCTCTCTCACTGTTTCTCTCTGTCAAATAAATAAATAAAATCTTAAAAAATAAATAAATAAAGTAGAGTAGTTATCTGCATAAGCTGTAGACTGGCTTCAAAATCCTAGAGGTCTGTGCTGTGATTCTCCTACTGCTGCTTGCCACAGGCTCTACACAGTGTCCTGATTTGCCACAGACACTTCCAGTATCATTGAGTCTGCTGTATCATAAGGCCTGGGTGCTTGAGCAGCCTGAACCTGCTTCAGAGCCTTCTCTCTTCCTGGTTCCAGTTAAAACAGGAAGCCTGATGGCTGACTTGGTAGATGGTCCAAAGCAGTAGATTTAGATGTTGTATAGGTTACCTCCAAAATCCAAAAAGTCCTACCAAATGCTTTTTGGTGGTTGATGGTGTGCGGTGCAACAATTAGGTGGATATCTCAACCCACTCAGGCAGTTGAACTCCTGAGAGCTTCACTGAGGTGGCAGGCCCCTGAATTTTTGTAGGTTTTGTTTCCCACCCTTTTGTTTGCATATTTCTTACCAAGGTATCTAAAGTAGTTGCTACTTCTTGCTCATCAGATCCACACAGCATGTCATAATGAAGTGGACCAATGTGATGTTTATGCAATATCAAGACAGAGCAGAACTGATGTCATCCTGAGGCAACAGTGTGAACATACACTGTGGTTTGGTTTGAGCAGATAAATGCAAATGGTTTCTGGTGTCGCTTGTAAATTGTATCGAAGAGAAGGCACCAGCCGGTTCCTTGCCTGCAAGCCAAGTGCCTGGGTTCTTCCTCTGGAAGAGCAACTACAGTCAGAGCCACCACATTAAATTTAGGATGGATGGTCCACAGTCATTCTCCAAGATCCATCTGACTTCTGCTTAGGCTAAACTAGTGAGTTAAATGGGATGTGATGGGTACCACCACCTCTGCTTCTTTCATATCGTTGGTGGTGGCATTAGTCTCTGCAGTTCCTCCAGGGATGCAGTATTGCTTTTGGTTTTCTATCTTGGCAGGGAGTGGAAGCTTCAGGGGCTTGCATTTAGCCCTCCTTAGCATAATGACCTATACCCCCAAGTATTTCTTTCTGGGGAACGCTGTACTCACTCACTGCCAAAGACCTCTTTAGGCCAAGGCATTCTGGTTGCCTGCACATCCCTGTTGCCTGTTATGGCGGATGTGCCCACTTTGTATTTGGTAATTAAGTGCTTGTATTTGGTAACTAAGTGTGGCCACTTGACCTTTGCTACCCATGGGATCATCCTCGAGAAAACAGAGGAGCCCATCTCAATGGCAGCATCTCCTACAGTCATAACTGGCTTACAAAAGAGAGCAACCACAGAGATTTTCAATCCTCTCACTAATATATTTCTCAGTTATTTTACTGAAGGGAATGTCTTCTGTGTCTTTTTGTGGAACAGAGTTGGAGATGGTGTTGTAATTTTTATTGCTGCTATAACAAATTACTACAAATTTAGCAGTTTAATGCAGCACAAGTACACACACACAAAACAAATGTTTTATTGTCCCATTCATTACCAATCAGTGCCCTAATTTTCACATGAGAAACGTGGCAAGATTGTGATTTCAAATGATACAAATCAGTCACCTGCACAACTGAGTTTTGTTTGGTTTTTAGCATCATCAGCCCTGCAGCTGTAAGAAATCAGATTCTCGTAGGGAGGTCATGGAATCCATCTATTTCTCAGACTGTGGCCTGAGCTGGTAGTTTAAGAACCTGAACGTATTATGTTCTTTCTGTAAGTGCTCCAGGGCACTCAGGACCCTCAGTCCCACACCATAGTCCTTGCAATTGTCATTACTGCCATAAAAGTGAAGCACAGGAGCCACTTGGGCTCCCAAGGCACAAGGTAGTGGCTTGTTTAATTGATACCACTGCATGCCCTGGGTTACCGTCATCCTATTTGTCGGGGAGCTCTGCGTTGTGCTCATGTCCCAAACACAACTAAGTCAGTCTTCAAATTCCATCTTTGTAGGCTATCTCCTGGAACCATTCCCAGTACCAGTTCTGTATCAATTTGGGTTCAGTCAGCAGAGAGAAACCGCACAGTGCTTTGAACAGGGCAGATTCAAAATGAAGTATTATTAACATCACCAGGGGATTGGAATGAGTAGAGGGGCTGGGTACTGGAGAAGGTGTGAGCGCTCGTGAAAAAGTTGCACAAATAGCAGCAGGCCATCAAGGGAGCACACAGCAAATGGGAAAAAAAACCCTGTTCATCCTGTAGTTTCTTCCCAATGCCCTCTACTAACAAGGTTAACATCCGGGGTATGTGGGTGGTTCAGTCGGTTAGGCATCTGCCTTCAGCTCAGGTCATGATCCCAGGGTCCTGGGATCAAGCCCCACATGGGGCTCCCTGCTCAGCGGGAAGCCTGCTTCTCCCTCTCCCGCTCCCCCTGCTTGTGTTCCCTCTCTCGCTGTGTCTCTCTCTGTCAAATAAATAAATAAAATCTTAAAAGAAAAAAAGGTTAACATCATGCAGTCTTGCAAAGAAAAATATTTAAAGAATCCATTTGCACAGAGCCGGCAAATGGGTGAATTTGGAGCTGAGAGACAGTCAGGTGATAACCAGCCCAGTAACCTATGCAGAGCTGTCTGACATGGACCTCTTCTACACATGACATGAGGCATCCTTCTGTGTCACACTTGAATCAGCTACCGTGCTGCAATGACTTTTTCACGGGACTGGACATATGCCTCTTTCTGTCACCAGTAGCCAAGGCCCTGCCAAAACCCTTTGCAGAGAAGTGACTTGGAGACCATAGCTCTCCTTCTTCTGCTCCCTCTTTGTGTTCTCATCTCTGTTGAGATCTTTCACGTTCTGTCATCTGGCTGGGTCCTAGCCTGCAGGGTCAGCCCTTCCATCCAGAACCCCCTGCCCCAGCTTCACAGAACCTTCCAGCAATCCCATGGACTCCTTCCTGAGTATGTTGACATGCACTGGTGATGAAGGTGCCTCCTTCTCCAATCCTAGCACTCAGTTAGCTGACATTTCTCTGCTTTCAGGTTGTCTGTGTCAAGTGGAGGCTGAGGAGGACCCTCTTGAGCAGGTGAAGAACTGTAGGGCCCCACTCATCAGAACACCTCTTCATGTGTGGGGAGTGTGGCATGGACTTCCAGGCCAGCTTTGGCCTCAGCCAGCAACAAGCCGCTCACAGTATGGGGAAGCTACTGAGCAGCACCAGGGAGACCTTCCCTCACAGCTGCAGTCTCAGGCAGCACCCAGGAGTCCACACTGGACAGAAACCCTTCAAGTGCAGCAACTGTGGGAAATCTTTCCTGGAGAGTTCTGCCCTCCTCAACCACCTAAGAATTTACACTGAACTGAGTTCCTACAGATGCTCAACAGGTGGAAATGCCTTCAGGGAGAAATCAATTCTTATTACTCAGATTAAAATTCACACTGGAGGAATGTCCTGTATGTGTAAAGAGTATGGGAAGTCCCTCAGCCACCCATCTAAATTGAGCACACCTCATAAAGTTCATACTGAAATAAAATGTTACAAGTGCAGTGAATGTGGGAAAACATTCAACCACAAATCCGCACTTGTTCAGCACCAGAGAATTCAAAGAGGGGAAAGGCCTTATAAGTGCAGTGAATGTGGGAAAGACTTCAGCCTCGCATCTACCCTTATTCAGCACCAGAAAGTTCACACTGGGGAAAGGCCCTATAAATGCACTGAATGTGGGAAATTCTTTAGCCAAAACTCCAACCATTTGGCCCCAGAGAGCTCACATTGGAGCAAGACCTTATGAATGCATTGAATGTGGGGAAGCCTACAGCAGAATCTCTTGTCTCAATCAGCACCAGAAGGTTCACATGAGAGAAAGGCCGTAAGAGTGCTGCTGGTGTGGGAAAGTCTTCATTGAAATAGCCACAGGTGTTTGGTACCACAAAGTCCTCAACACAGAAAGGCCTCATATAGGCAGCACATGTTGCACCTTAGTTGCTTCTCATTTAACACCAGAAATTATAGGAAAGCCTTTAGATACAGCCTTAACCTCGTTCAGTACCAGAGAGGTCATGACCTCAAAAGGACTTTAAGTGCAGTCAGTGTGGGAAATCTTTACCCCAAAGCACCAAACTTGATCTACATGCAAGTTTCCATACCACAGAATATCCTCTTTAGTCCAACAAATGTGGGAAAGTCTTTTTTTTTTTTTAAGATTTTATTTATTTGAGAGAGAGAAAGAGAGTGAGAGAGAGAGCGTGAGAGGGGGGAGGGTCAGAGGGAGAAGCAGACTCCCCGCTGAGCAGGAAGCCCGATGCGGGACTCGATCCTGGGACTCTGGGATCATGACCTGAGCTGAAGGATGTCTCTTGACTAACTGAGCCACCCAGGCAGTGGGAGAGTCTTCAGCTGCAGCTCCAATCTTATTTCACTCCAGAGAGTTCACACTGAAGGCCTTAGGAGGACAATAAAGTGCAAAAGCCTTTAAGCCATGGCTATCACCTTATTCAGCCTCATGTCAG